GAGCGGCTGCGTGGTATTTGGCTGCCTCCAGGTTAAACCACGACACTGTAGTATCTGTGTTAATTTGACAATTCGATTACTCATTGAAATGTTCTGTTTGGTGGATATCACTGATGCTGAATTTGGGAAGCTTTCCTAGTAACTTGCATAAGCATACCTTGGTCATGTTTTATTTTAATGTATACTTGAGATTTACTCTATGAGTTATGATTGATCTGAATGAGGATTATAAATCAGAAGTGTTGGAGATCTCTTCTGAAAAAGGGGACATAATTTCAGAAGGAAATAAAAGCATAACTGTTGAACTATATTCAAAAGGTAATGAAACAGCAATGATTAGAGTTCTGTGCTGTGAAAACCTAGCCTTTTGGTCTTTCAAGCAGAGTTGAGTATATATACATCACTGTGGTGATGTTTATCAGAATAGAAACTGATCTTTCTGTTGCTTTGTCTTAGTTTGTCTTAGTTTTCTTGCATAGATGTCTGATTTATGTTTTCAGACTTACTTCAAGAATTCAGAGGGCCCGTGGAAAGCAGCAATCAACACAGTAAGGCGAAGAAACCAGGAAAACTGTCCCCTGTCCCAGCCACTGTTTTTAGGCACAGCTCAACCTCAGTCACGAAAAAGGGTAGGTTATGTGCCTAAGGTAGACCCTAGAATGTGCCAAGCAGCTGTTTTCATTATAAATATTGGCAAATAATGGGAGTCAGGCTTTATTTCAGCACTGGGAAGGGTGGATTAGCTATGTAGAAATGCAGCATTCCCATTATAATGAAAGCCTGGATACCTTTTTTGCAAAACAGGATCTTTACGGGAACACTGGTCACAAGTGCACTTGACTGCATTGGAAACAGGGTCATTGCTATTCATTTGTGCTTCTTTTCTACAGAAATGGAATACCCAGTTGATTATACCTGCAACCAGTACAAACAAAAATAATTCAGAAGAGGACAGGGAAAAGAACCATGTTGATTTGTACAGTATGAATGAGTCTTTTCCAGTGGAGCAGCTGCAGACTTTTTCTCAGCTCCTACAAAATATCCACCACCTAGAGGTGAGTTTCAGGAAGGTCTCGGTAAGCTCACTGAACGTTTTGAGAGATCGAAGGATATTCCTCTATGCCCTGTTTATATGTGAATAGTGGGTGGGCTACCTAGTTCTGACAGAGCATCTAGTCCTACCTGAGGGTGATGAATGAGTCCTAGAGACGGTCTTGTTGCTGGTAAAACGATTGGCCAACTCTGATAGAATGAGATTCTCTGGCAGTTTGCTGATGTAAATACTGAATTTCTTGATTTCTCTTGCAGTTTCCTTCCCAGATGGGTTCAGTGCTAACAAACCCTTTATTGCTTCACTACATGAATTGCATCAAAGATGATTCTATTTATCTGAGGCTCTACTATTGGATGGGCCAGACTCTTCAGGAAGGTAGGAACTTAGTATTATCTTGCATGGTAGGGAGGTAAAGGATGTCTGAGGCTTTTCACATTTCAATAATGGTACTTTGCTATTCAGATTTATAGTGATAATCACATAGTGTTAAAACAACTACTGGAGGAGAACTGAATTTTGTTTCTGATTGTGCTTATTCTTGCTGTGCTCATATTCAAATACAGTATTCTCTCCTGTTTAGAATGCACCTGGTGTGTGGCTGATAATTACGGATATGAAGAAGAATTCAAGGACTTCCTGGAAACTGTATACAAGACAGAGTGTTTCTTGCAGGTAAGTGCCTGTTTTGTGGAAACCAAGGGTTTCACGAAGTCTTCCCTGAAAGTACTTTTGGGACTTGCCTGTTTCCTGTAGTATCTCTGAGAAGTGACGGTGTTTTAAGTAATAAAAATACATATTCCTACAGCAAGTCAATATTCTGGAGATGACCTTGTTTTCTGCAGGAAAGATAATTTGAGAATGATACTGAGAATGATAATTTGAATGTCCTGGTGAACTGTATGGCAGGAAGGAGGTGTAAGCCTCTTTCTCCAGGGTGAAGTGAGCATGGCAAGGTGCAGGCATATGAGATGAGTTTTTGAATGTTCATCTTCTGCTTTGTAGGAGGGATTTTCTTCCTGTGAAGAGTTCCTCTATAAAAGCCTTCCTCTCTGGGATGGCTTCTGCTGCCGATCACAAATCCTCAGACTTGTGAGTTGGATCCCCCTCAGCAGCTTCTCTGGTATGTGTTGCAGATCCTTTGGGTGAGGCTGGACAATATCTGATCTTGGGGGATAGAATTTGTGCACAGATTATCATGCTGCTTTCTCATTTGTTTCAGAAATGAAGTCACATCTCTATGATCCCCTGGCACAGCTCTTTTTCACATCGTCCCTTTACTTTAAGGTAATTTAAGTGAGTACAGTGGCTGTTTACTTCTAGTTGGTATTGCTATCTGCCTTTGTGTCAGGTGTAGCAGTCTGAGGGATTGTATAGGGGACTTCTTTTGGGGAAGTCTGTGCCCAAATGAGGGTAAAATATATACTTACAATGTAATTTCTTTGGGAATTTGAATGCCTTTAAGATATTTTCTTTTTTGACTGGAATTAAACTGGGGCTCTGGAAATAAAAAGAACTGATAGTACACAAGACAATAGTTAGTTTGTTTTACTGCAATTTTAACTCAGTATTTGAAACTCTCATTCTCCAGGAAAAGCTATGTGACACATACATTCAGTTCAAGGGGACATGCAATTATCTCACTGCTCTCTGTGGTCCTGAGAAACTTCTGATATCTTTCCTTGTATGTGTCAATTCTCATGGCATTTTTTGTTTAGTATTATTCACTTATGTAAATTGTCATCAACCTGTTTTCTTTTTGCCTCTTGCAGTGCAGTGTTCTCGAGAGCCTGAAAGAGCTGTTGCAGAACTGGTTAAATTGGCACGTGATTCATCTGGATTCAGAGTCTGACTCTCAAGCCCATTCTTTGTAAGTTTGTCTGAAATAAAAGCAATGCAGTATTCTGTGCATTGTTCACTAGTGTATTTAGATACATATTCTAGCCCTATTACCTAGCATAAAGACCGACTAGAAGGTTAATAATGTTCTAATGTTTCTGCTATATTGTAAGCTCTCTTGTCAATCCTGTTCTTTCTCGAAATGTCCAGAAGTCAAAATCCTTGTAACACTGACATGTAACACTGGGTCATGTTTGTAATAATGTTGGTAACAGTATGTTACTCGGTATATTGAAGAACAAATGCATGGTTGCTGCATGCTTGGTGGGGCAGGAGGATAAACTTCAACATCTTTTTTACCACTTGTTGTTTTTACCGTTTGCAAAGAGGTCTATATATTAATGTATATACACGTCATTGCTGCAGGAATACCACCCTTTCTGGACTAGTGAATGTGGTGGCTGAACTGATCCACTTTGTTGGATGGATCTCTACTGTTGCATTGCGTTTGGAAAACAATCCTACTTTCTTGCTGTACTTCATCCTGGATTTCTATGAGACTGTATGTATCCCATTTATTTTGGCTTTCAAAATCCCAATAGTGTAAGGCTGTTTGCATTTTTTTAAGCTAGAGCATGAAAACACCTTCCTCGTTGTAGTTTACAGAACTTTGTGATTAAAGGCAAGAATGTTCCAAATACTTGGTAGATCTACAAGTGATAGCTGCTGCTGTTGCATCCATAGGCAGAACTAAATATGCTGCTAGAAGGTGGTTGCTCTTAAGTCAGAGGTGAACTGTGGAAGGGGAAGTAACAATGTAGCATAACATGCTTTTTTAATGCTAATCTTATAGGAAAGAACAATATTCAGTTCAATTTCAAACAACATATCCTGATTTTTTCCTTAAATGTTCCCTTAAAAAATGAAGTTTTTTCCCCAGTTTGTCTTGTAGACAAACTAAGCACCGTCAAATAGGCTTAAGCCTACTCTCTAGCTTCCTCACGTCCTCTCTGTAGATCTGCTTACTGCCATGGGAACTCCAGCCATGCTGTTGTTGATCTTACAATTTGGATAAAATTGTTGGAAGGGTTGGAAAAAAAAATGATAGTTCTGGGATCTACTTGTAACTAAAATGTCCATTAAAATGCACAAAACTAATGGGCAACAACATTTGCATAAGACAGTGTGTTTAAAATAAGTAAATGCTTGTTTTATGGGAATATAGAGAGAATCATGCACCCTTCGATATATGATTATTGGTGCTTTAGCAGACAACTAGGATTTGAATTTTTTCTTGATGTTTTGCTTATGTATTCAGAACTCTAGAGATTTCTAAAATCATACAGCTGAGATATTAAGTAAAGAGTCTAGATTTCTGAAAATACCAGTAATTCAGTTACATACAAATATCTGCCTATACCTTACATGGTATAGCTGTACTGAGGGCAAGAGGAAAGGTGAAGGTCTGGCAAACAATCTTTAGTGAAAACTCTGTTATGAGATTAGGGGAAGAGTCCTAAAACAATTGTTGTGCCTAATTTAACAAAATGTAAAAAGTATCCATCTTCAAGATGGCGGGCTGTCAGAGCTTAATTGTTTATGGTTTGAGCTGTAGTGACTAGATATGCATATTCTTACACCAGTACTCTTCTGAGAATGACGCATACCTTCCTGAAGAGCATATTTTTGTGAATAGTTACTGTGGCTAAGCTGTAGAGGACAGTAATGTGTTAAGTTACAGCAATATTACTTTCAATTATTTATCCATACTTTAAGACTGTCATCATAGCTGAAGATCTTGTTAAATTTGCAGAATTTTAAAATGTTTTTTTTTCTTGAAACTCAACCTTAAATTCTAAACATGAGTCTGATAATAAACCCATGTCTTATGGCCATATCATCTTTTCTTAGAGCAAAGCTTTATCGTGTGTTCATGCAATTCCAGCAAGGTCAAATAGAAAGATTTCATTTCCTAATTGGAAGAGATGTGTGGTCTGTTTGGCTTGCTGGTATCAGCAAACCAGGCTAGGAACAAGGTCAGGTCTAGTGCAATCCCAGCTACATATGTTGGAATGATCTAAAAGATCAGAAAAAAATGGCTGCTGCTTTTTTACAGGGATCTGGGTAGATTTGACTCAGCAAGTAACCATGTCAAAACAAATGGTATACCTGAATGGTTGAAGCAAAGACTGAGATATGAACTGGTGAATATGTCTCAAAGTGAGAAGGAAACAAATGGAATTGCTTCACCCTGGCCTTCCCTCCTAGGTGAAGTTGATGGACCTGGCTGGAATGCAGTGTCATGCTCTTTTGCTCTTTGATTTGGGGTTTGTTGATGGCAGTAATAATCTGCCTGGATTTGCTTCATTCCTTCCTGCAGGTGTGTGACATATATCTGAGGTACAATCTGCCTTTGTTGATAATGCCTCCTGCTGGAGTTTTCTACCCAGCACTTCTCAGCATGGATTCTGTCAGCTTGAATCAGCTCTGCTACATTATGTACAGGTACTACAAATGGTGTGGGCTGAGGGACTCCTTGTCTTCTCTTTCAATCTTTTGGAAATGAAATTACTTTGGTGTAAAATCTGAAATCTACTTTTTCTTACCATGCAAGGCAAAGGTGAAAGTTCCAGTTGTGCCCAGCTTTCACGATACAGGATTTTATAGCTGTAGTTCCTACTCTCTTTTTTTTTCAGTCTGTTATCCAAAATAGCAGGATTCTGACCTCTTTCCTAGTATTATTTCCATATCTTTGATATGTGAAGGAAGGAGTTCCCATATTGTTTTGAGAGAACTTAAGTCAGCCAGCTGGAATCACTAGTAGTTAACTATGCAACTTTTCATTCCTGTGCTTTGACCACTAGACTTGAGCTTTTCCTTACAAATTCTGTAATGTGCTGAGTAGGAGGCAATTCTGCCACCTCCAAACTCTGTGGGAATTTGGGACTGCCTCAAAACCAGCACTGTTTAGCTCTCTGCAGGATCCCCCAACATGGCTGCGGTTCTTGGCCTTGTTAGTTCCAGTGGTGGCATCTGAGAAGAAGAGTAGCCAATTGCTGACATCTGGTGCAGGGCTCTCCATGTGGCTTTCTCTAACGAGTCTGCAGGGTAATTAACATGACAGGATGGTCTCTGGGAAATAAGAGGATCTTGTGCTTATTATATAGGACAACTGTCAAGTTGCATTACTTCCAGTGGCTTCTGTTTCTTTGCTTAGTGAATGAAAGCTTCTTAAAAATACACTGCATTTTTCTGCTGATTTTAAAGCTGTATGTCAATTCTTGTGTATTGCTTCTATGAAGGTGACTGTCCCAGGCAAACTGGTCATGTCTTAATCATTTAAGAGATGAATATTATTGGATGTCTCTCTACTCTGCTTGGAAAGGGTGGGTCTATGCCAAGTGATAAAGCCCCTTTGAATTCTTTTTCATGTCTCTCTTTTACCAGTAAAGTTTGATCTCTTTCGTGGAGGAAATAAGCTTTCTTAATACATTCCTCCAGCTTTTTTCAACACTGGTAGGTAGTAAAAATTTACAGGCACCTAACCTTCTCTTTTGTTTGTTTTTTCAGGTATCGAACCAACTTGGTGGCTGCAAAAGAAAATGAGCTGAGTAAAAAGGTATTGTGGACAAATCTGCTATGTGCTAGAACAGACTTTGGCAAGGAATTGGGTTGAATGGAGGGGAGGTGTTCTGATGGCATTCTTTTAAGGACTGGAGTGAACTCACAACTGCTTTGAGGATGCTATTTATTGATTTGTTTTCTTGTCCCTCAGAAAATACTGCAATTCAAGTTCAGTAGCCAGACATACCAAGAGTACAACCAGTACATAATAGCTATGGTGGGTTGTCTGTGGACATCCAGTGCATTCCAGAAGGATATTCATCCTCAAGGTCTTTGTATGGATGATGAACTGCTGAAGAAAACCACAGTGCAGGAATTCAAAACCAGCTTTAACATTGTCTACCACCCAGCCATGATGGGCTATGCTGTCCTCTTCCTGCAGCAGGTAATGGTGTAGGCCAACATTTGGGCCTTTGGCAGCACCAGATGTTCTATCTTGACCGTTTCTCTAGAGAAGTGTCTCTCAGTGTACTGGCTGACTTGTAGAGTCAACTGCGCTTTCAAAAGCTGGTATGGCATTCTGTGTTTGTGTCAGATCAGTGGCACAATTTGAATAGTCTTTGTTTGCATGGTATGAAAACATGCATGTAACAGTTTTAGATGTGAATTTGTACTTATAATCATTTTCAGAATAGAACTAAAATAGGTAAATAATGAAATAAATTACTAGTTCAGTAAAAGCTTCCCGATAGTGCATCCTGCCCCACAAAATATGGAGTGTGACCCAAACATTTAAACTCCAGAAGGTCAAGAAATACATAGTTAAATTGTATACCTGTGTGCATGGTAGAACTTTTAGCAGTGCTTTCTGGCTTTTGCAGTAGGTTTTGAGAATGGCTTATTAAAAATGCAATACAAGTAGCTACTTCACGTACAGAAGTAAGATAATATGGTGCTGTCTTGTACTGTCTGATATGAGTTCTGCTAGTAGTCGTTTTGAATTCCGGGTGCCATCATGTGTTCAATGCAGCTACTGAATAATGGAGGGAGCAGCTTGTCAGAGTTGTTGTTGTTCTGAGATGTGCATGCTGCTGTGAGAAATCAGGTTTTGTAGGCTATCCAAGGGGTGTACAAAGATGCTGTTTTGTTGTGAGGAATTGCTGGCAGACTGAAGGCGTGCGTAGGTGCAGCTCCTGGAATGAAGCAAGGGAAACCCGAGGTTAAAGTTGAAGCAAAGAATGCTGGTTAGGAGCACTTCACAAATTTGCCTTCATTTATATACTCAATGTCCTGAATCTAGGTAGTTTGTCTCTTACTGCTGATTAAACCCGAGTTTTGTCTTTGCCAGAGGAGGCGGTTTTATTTTTGTTATATACAACTCCTTTTCCTTGGTCTTTCTGCTGTTGTAGCAGGATTAGTTTTTCATATCTTTTGTCTAGATCCTTTCCATTCTGAGGCTTCTTGATTCTTCTTTGTAGATTTTGTAAGAAAAAAAAACCAAACAAAAAAACCCCGAACAAATGAAAAAAAAAAAAACCCACCCAAAAAAACTAACCCAAAACCTTCTGGTGCAGAATTTTTGTATTCTTCCTACCGCAGAACCAAGGAAGAGATTTTGCTTAGCAGTTATCACAGGTGTATCTTAAGACAGGAAAAAATATTTAGCTGCAGTGCCATCTTTTCTTAAACATTTCAGTGCTGAGCACCAGAGGGCACTGCTCTGCAGCACACTCAGAGAACATAAGCAATAATATAAATGTCAGTAGGTTCTCTCCTCTTGCTCTTTCTCATTGTTGGGAATTATCTGTCTAATGTTTTGAAGGGGTAGCTTTTACACTGTAGAGAGACAATGGTTAAAGATACCTATAAATATTCTCTGTTGCTATCCAGTAATGCTGCAGCACAGAGCAAGAGGGTCTCCACATTACTTTGCCACTTGTGGACACAGTATGATGCTGGAAGCCCATTCTGAAGCATGATTAAAAGTGTCTGAATTTCTTTGCACACCTGCCATTCCTGATTTAGGAGGGGACTAAGCAGAGGCCCAGCAACTCTGGACATACTTTTTATCTGACTTGATACTGTTTTTATTCTCTCTCCTTAAGGCTTGGCCAGATGATACCACCTTCAACTTCAGTTTAATTAAGGTAAGATTTCTTGTTTTAGTGAAGTGAAAACAGGCAATTTTCAGCAGCTGTGTAGAAGAGGATGAGGTGAAAATATTCACCAATTCCACAAATGCTCTGTAAAAATTTTGAAAGGGGAAAATTCCAGCTGTAGACTTTGGTTCAGTCTCTTAACAGGGCCAAACATGAGGACATCAACACCCGAGAAGTTATGTATCTAGCCATCTGTGGGTAGCGGTCTGAGACTTTTATGTATTTCCTCCATGAGTCAGTGCAGTATCAGGACAAGGCTGTTTATTGTTCTCTGCAGGCTTCAGAAAAAGTTATATTTTTGGTGTACTTGAAGCAAAATTTCTGTTATCAATGAACTTAATATTAAATTTCTGAGATGGATGTGTAGCTTTGTTATAGCTTTGAACAGGGATCCTCCACTGAGCACATACAGTAGCAGTTTGTTTTCATTCCTGTATCACAGTGTACTTCAAACCTGATCTGGAGGAATCACCATTAGTGATGGAATGAAGGCTTTTATATCCATGTTCATTTGGTTCCTGACATCTTCACTGTTGTTCCAAAAGACATTGCTCTTTTTAGAACTGGGATTTATAAACACCTTCAGTATTAAAAAAAGATCGTGATTTGTCATGTTGAAACTAAGAATGTGTAATACATAAGTGAAAAGTTTGGGCATTTGGGAACAGGATGTGACCTTGTATACCTGTGGGTATTTACAGACTAGGATGAATGTTGTCAAACAGGAAGGCGATATTTGCAGACCTTTTCAGATTGGCCTAAGAAAGAGACAAAGCTATGTCCTGCACATCTGACTATTCTTTCTGTTTTTATAGGAGAACTGGTATCTGGAATATCTCTATGCACAAGGTCTAAAGGGCCTGAAGGTCTTTATCGAAAGCAGCATCAATCGTGTTTCCCAGGCCTCTCACAGTAAAGCAGGGAATTTGCAAGTGTGACCCTGGGACTCACTGGAGTCTTTTTGTCATCTGGAACAGGAAAGCAGAATATAATGGACGTGTCACTAATTCTTTAGAGCAAAAAGAAGCAGAGCAATTACCCTCATCTGTATTTTTGTACTGACATCTATTTTAGGAAAGTGAAGACACGGAAGGAATGCTTAGGCTGGCTTGGTTTACTAGCACTGAACCCCCTCTTGTCCCTGTTGAACTTCTCTGGTCTGAAGCTGCTGAGCTCATATGTTACGTATCATCTGCATTTTTCATCCTCATTTTTCTCTGTTGGAGTATCTGCTTTGATTGAGAAACAAACATTTTCCATCTCAAAACTGCAATGAGCAGTGCTGCTTCATTTATAAGTCATGTTGATCCCTGATCTGCTTTGCCTTCCTCGACAGTGGGTCATGAGAAACAATTTAATTAGCCTTTCAGGGATACTGTGTATGTACTGGATTGGAGCACTACGAGTTTCCCAATTCCCTGTTGTACCGTGTTTATACTGGCTTTTAACAGCTGACCAAACTGACCTTCCTGAACTTCATTTTCATTATGAAGCTACCAAAAGAGACTTTTTGCTAAAGTGGCTTATAATGTTCTAATGCAGCTAGAAAATTTGGTGCTCGGTTGATGGTTTATTGATGATTTGAGCACTTGAACAATGTTGCCACCAGCTCACCGTTTTCTATTGATAGGTGCAAATGTAGCTTTCCTTTTTGTGTTTTTAGCTCTGTAAGGGCTGTATATTATACGTGTACATATATATAATTTATATTCTGTAAAATGTTTTCAACATGCCATTTTGAAGGAACTCTGCTACAAAATCTTCTCTTGTCGTTTCATTTAATACTGAGTAGAAGTTGGGAGAAGCTGAACTCGGGTCTCCAAAATTTGTGTGAACTTTATTTCACTGCTGTAAAATGAGGTTGTAACCACTTGAAAGATGGGTCAGAGTATACTGAATTTTGCATTGTGAATCTGTACTTTTATCCAGTAAAGAAATCAGAGAGTGACTCCAGAGCCACTAAGGATGTATTTGCTTTCTTCATCCTCTGAAAATCAGACTGGTTCTAGGTTGAGTACCATGCTTCTTGGCTTAAATAGATGGTCTGGTTAATATGTGTATATATATTTATATGTGTATACATATTGTCTCCAGAGAATAAGAAAATCTTTCACTGAAGACTTTGAAAGAAAGAGATTTGCAGAGAGATCTGCTTAGGCTGAAGTAATTGCCCTTTCTCATCTGGCTGTGTTATTCCAGCTAGTATAAGTGCTGCTCACTGATTTCTGTCAAGAGAAACAGCTCTTCAAAAATCCTGATTATATTTTCTCAACAGAGGAAACTCTACAAATTACAAATTCCTCCGAGTGTATATGTTTCAAGATGTGGCCCTAACATATAACCAGTTATCTCCTTTAAAGGCTGGTACTGTTGTTTTGGACCAGCTCAGCTTGTTGGCTGAAGACTATCCCAACACCACTGGCTGGCAATCCCTATCATAATGTTGCCTATTATTTGTTAGACTCCTTCAAGTTTTCAGCTAAGGACCCAAGGAGGAGAGCTCTGTAGCTCCATAGTTGTTTTTATAATTTTTCTATGAAGCTACCTTCAAAAAGGTATTGGAAATGCTAGCACTTATGCTGGAAAGCCTATGTACTGCATTCCTTAAGGACAAATTAATCCTTAGCTTTTGTCCTTACACCATACAATTGTCTTCAGATGTTGACCAGACTTGTACTTCCATATTGCTGCACTGGGATTCTGTATAGGAATAGGGCTGGAGGGATTGACAGCCCTACAAAAACACGAGGTGAAGACATGGACCCGGTTATAGATCTGTGTATGGCAGGCTCATTCAGTGGGGAAAGGAGCAAATACAGAACATCTCAAAGAAGCATTCTGTTTTAGCCAGGAAGACAGACTTCATGTTACCTGGGTGCCGTTTGGAGTTTATGTTGGAAGGAGCAGAGCTCTGTAGCATTCCTGTCAGGCTGGAAGGTGCTGCCAGAGGCTTCATTTCAGTTGTGAAAGGTGCCTAGATTCTTAAGAGTGTGTGTGATATATGTAAACGTATTTAAAGAGGCTTATAGCAGAATCCTTTAGGATATACTGAACGTTATATAGGTACTGGTCCCTGAGATCAGTTTTCCCTTGAGGTTGGTGTTTGGTTGAGAGAACACAGAATCGTGTTATGGAAGACTGATGTTGCAGCATCACAGGTCTTTTATTATACCCTGTGTTACAAAATTCTTTAAACAAATTGTGTACAATTTTGTGATTCGAGTGCACAGGCTTAGAGGTGCAGAAATAAAATAACAGGGCATATAATTTTCCTTTAATGTCAGCTTTGTTGGTCAAGATGGCTGTTTAAAATCCTTCCCATGCAGCAATGCTGTGCCTAGTATTACTGGACACTTGAGATGACTTTTAGCCTCTTTGTATGTCTTGGTAGTTTTTGTCTTCTTTTACATCTGGACATTTTTTCTTCTTTTTTCTCTAAATATCTGACTTTACTAACATTCCACTTGAATGGAAGAATGGTCCTTTAAGGGAGGAATGTGCTGCTGTACGTCTTTGTGGGTTTTTTTGGTTGTTTTTTTGTGGTTTTTTTTTCCCCTGCTTGCTCTTTACCCTCTAATCACTGTGGTAAATTTTGCAGACCATTTTCTATTACAAGTATATGCTCAAAGACTTGGCTGACCACAGCATCTGTTCTGAGGACTAAAATGGACATAATCAAGACCCATCCATTTCCTGGAAGTGAAAAATCAGCGACTTTCCTCTAGTGCCCTTTGCTGCCTGTTGTAAGGTGCCTGCCATATGTATGCACTCTGAAAGCGTAGCAGAAACAACTGTTTTGTGGTACTGTTTGATAGGAACGATGCAGGATGAAAAGTTCATTTAAGGCTCACATTCATGTTGTCAGTCAGCAGCCCAGAATATTTAAGTTTAGGTCAGGCCTGTAACCTCGCTCTGAGGGGATTGTATTCAACATGTTTCACTAGAAAGTACGTAAATGCTTTCACGTCACTTGAGTCTACTCTCTTGAGTGTGTTTTTTATTTCTAGAGGATGCTGTTTCAGTGTCCAAATTTCTAGCCTCAGCTGATCTGGGGGAATGCTGGTTTGTGTCCTGTCTCCCTATGAACAAAAGTTGATGATTCGCTCCAATATCTGTCTGGCCTCCCTTCTCGGGAGGCTTCTACATGCTTTCAATTTAGGAGATTTGTAATATTAGAAGCAGGTCAGGGCAGCAGTCATTCCAGCTCAACCACATTCTGCAGCTTTTCTAGTAGCCTGTTTAGATGCTTCCAGAAAGTGAAGCCTTGCCCTTTAGAAAAATCTCCAAGTGGGTATTAGATAGGATTTCAAAGTACAGGGCCAAAATCCTGTCTGGGGTAAGCAGGCATAGCTCCATGAATTTCTAATGGATCTATGTTCAGTTGCACCAGCTGAATGTCTGGTCCACAGTTCACAGAACCAAAGCCATTAACCCCTCCCATGTCAGGCACATTGGCCTGAGTATTATGCATCTAAAAATGCAAATGCCTTGGGCTAGAGTTAAGCTAAATTCTTTTTCTGAAGCCATATTTGCTTTGTGTTTCTGTTAATCATGATTTTATTTTGTGGGGAGAGACTCATTTGTGCATTTTTATGCATCAGGCTGTGTTGCCTTTCCAGAGAGAGCTTGCTCTGAAAGTGTTAATAATTTCAACCTGTTTTCAGCTGGAATGAAGAAACTAGTTCCTCTGTGTCCCTACTTTCTATTCTCTTGTTGGCCTACTTCCCTCTGCTTGCATTTTGCATTCCTAATGCCATGAATAAATCAGGACCCAAGGATTTAGAAGGTGGTACAGCTGTAGCCACTCAGAAAATTGAACCTCTGAGGCTTGTACTGCAGCTCTAACAACTGCCAATATGTGTGCTCCTGTACTCTTCTAATAACATTTAACTGGTACCAAAATAAAATTCACTTTGCCCTTTTTATATAATGTTTAAGTTTTTTGTGCCTCTACCCAGCGTCTCCTTACTTGGCTCCCTTTGTCTTTTAGTTAAAGCTGAGTTATAAGCCTTCAGGGCAGGGCAATCGCCTCCTGACTGCTGTGACAAAATGGTTTATCACAAATCTTTGCACAGAGGAGAAAAGAATAAGGGAAACTGAGGGATCTGACCTGGCTAAGAGTTCATCTTCTCTACAGAATTAGAGCACAGTAAAACTCCTGTCTGGCTGTGGCCCTAGATCCTCCGATAACTTGTCATTAATAATACACACCGGACTGCTTTTATTTGTAGCGCTGTGGCTCCTGAGAGCGTGTGAGGGAGCTCTTTATGTGCTCTTTAGTCAGAGGATATATCCAGTCTGAGTGAAGAACAACAGGCATTGGTAACAAGCTTGCTCTGGAGGATGAATATTTTGAAAGAACAAAGTCTCCAAGTTTTTCTTCCAGGAAAGATGATTTATGTTGTACCAATGGCTTTCCCCCTTTTAGAATAAAAGTAATGATTTTGGTCTGATGATGGTTTGATTTCACCAAACTTTGCTTTTGAAGGTCTTTTATGACCTTAGCATATGGTGACGTGGGTTTTGGCACAGGATTCCTGAGATCTGTATCTAGCTGTTAGACCTGCCTGAGTAACTCCCAAGTAATTATAGTTGGCAAGGGAGGTATTGAAGTACGTAAATAATGTTCGGTAAAGTGCGTATCTTGTGATGCTGCTTCATTTCTCTGCTTCTCAGTTTCCTGTCTTGTAGGAGTAAAAAGTCTGCATAGCAGAGGGTAAGATTTTAAAAAAATGCCTTAATTATTTTGGCATCTAATTTCCATTTTCAGGCTCACTACAGTCTTGCACAAACGTAGAAACTGAAACAGTTGGTCTTCAAAAAAAGCTGCAGGTAACTTGCACAGGCTTTAAATACTATTTTAATCTTGACAGCATTTAGAAATCTGTAGGCTCATAGGCGATCCCTTTCTGCAGCTTAATGAGTGAAAATGCATTAG